ATAAAAGAACTAAACCTTTAACTCGTTAGACTCGACTTTCATCTGCATGTCATCAACCTAATGACCTGTGCAGTGAATATATGACTATGTCCAAACAAAGTCATATTAATGATAAGCTCGCTCAAGCTCTGTGGAATGCGGTTACTGGCCACCATTTTGGCTTTGTGTCACTCACAAAAGTGGCTCTGAGAGTGAGTTTGGGCCATGTTTGCCCTTACTAGGTGTCATTAGCAATGCAACTAGATTTACTGGAAAATATTCCTAATCGAAATTATTGAAATTATCTATACTTTGAGTTTTTCAATGGGCCCGTTTGATGAACTCTGGATTCCAAATGTCCCTAATTCGAACGTAGCCATTTCTCTTAAGTACGAAGAAATGGATTAAAACCAAGATGTAAGATTGTAAGTAGGACTTGTAGTTCATTCATAGAACCGCCAATAGAAATCTTGTTGTTACGGGCTTGGAATTCCAAAAGTCTTACAACAGGGCTTGTGTTTACTAACAATACACCGACAATTAGTACGCACTTACAATGGACTTGAAAACAATTCGACTTGCATTCAGAACCACTCATTTCACTATTTGTCAACAATACCAAAAATCTAACTTATCTCTTTGTGTCGAATGGAACTTTTAGAAGGAACGTCTTTAAATAAATGATTTAAGAAACTAATCACTTTGCTATTTGCTTGCTATCTTTGATGACGTTTTATTCGGAAGAGGATCACTTACTATACCAAAACTGCAATGATAATGGCTAATTTAATTCGGATAATGGAAGCCATGATGAAATAGCATAGTTAATTGAAACTAAAGATAGTATCGGCTTGTTAAAAATCTTAACCGCCATCAAACCATCATTCACTTTTACTAATCGGGGCTTCGTGGCAATCGTAAAAAAAAACAAATAAGTACTCCAATTAACCGCGCTGTTAAAGGAAAAAAGGAATTAGACAATTGGGTATTCATGGATTTTTGATCGGTAACTCACAATTAATGAATTTAACAATCAGGAGGGCGTACCGCGGTACCAGCCACGGATTTCACAACAAATTACGACACACATACCAAAATGCAATTGATACCAGTGACATGGATCGCAAGCACACCGCGACCGGCCACCGGCTTTACCTTACTTGTACTCTACATACATAAATATCATAACATTACACTATTAGACCAATTCTAACAATAGCTAACTACAAAAGAAAGCCATGTTCACGCACGACTTACATCGATCTCACAATTTGATCTCAGAATATCAAACGTGACAGAAATTGAAATTTGTTTGGCAGCAAAAATAGAACGCGTCACTCAAACACAATTGCAGTATTGAGCAAATTCCAATAAACTAGCACTCGTTTACTAGGTAACTAGAGGTAGATAAATATTTATGCAACTTCCCCTGTTATTATTATAAGATTCAATTTGAAATTGCAGTGATTGGATTCCTGTTAGCAATGCAACGATGGTTCTGAGTCACAATAACGTAATCTTAAACTCATACTAAAGGTGAAGAGAAAAGCTTTACGACATATTGAAGAAAAAGAAACTACTTAACATTTCAAAAAGTAAACACAGATGTTAGTTTGCCGCAAAGTTACGGTAAAATTCCATGTTTCCTAATCTTACAGTTACTACGAGACACGTTCTAATCTCAGAAATAGCATCCGTAAGGCAGACGATGTAGTTTTGCACTTCTATGACCTTTCAACGGCACGCAAACTCCGCTTGCGACCAATCGGAATTACTATAAAAAGAGATAGAACTGCCATTCTGTATAATAATAGAAACTAGTGGAACAATCCAGAACCAAAATCATGTTGATAATGTTTGTCTTCTCCTTCCAGATTCCGCATCCCGTCGAATTTATTTCGAGAGCTGGACTAAATACTGGTAAGCACTTAATTTTATGGTTGGTTAGCAGTAAAATCAGTAATGCGAAGGAATTCCGGTCACGTCTCCAACATCCGTCACCGCACATCCTCACTCGAACATTAGTTTTTATACGACGACAGCGAAGCCATATCCTCTCACGGTAGGAAATGCAAAAAATCCGGAAGACTATTAAAATAGATTTAATGAAAACTTTGAATTTGTAATGAGATGAGTATTATACAACAGTTGGTGGATTTTTTGCACAGTTTTTATATTGTTGGTGTGACGAATGTGCAACGTAGAACGGCCATGGTTGCGCAATTTGAGGTCGATGCCTCCCGGCTCCCACCGCTATCGATCTACTAAACTGTTTATTCTTTTATTGATACTGGTACACTAACTAGGCTGGTAACGTCTGATTAACACTAGCTGTTCTTTTTTTAATATTCATCGTTTAGAAAGTAGAGACATCGACAGCTGCTTTACGGCTCGTGATGCGTAAACAAGACGTGTGGTTGGAGAATCTTAAGCGTTTTCTATAACTGCCTCTCAAAGTGAGATCTGAGATTCTAAAACCCAGATTTTTTATTCCGAACGTGAGTTGAAATTCTCGCCGAAGGAAATGGCGTGTCTATTGCCATTGGATCTCAAGGCCAGTCGTTATGCAAATTAGTATGATGCATGTGTTTTCGGTCTATTTGATTTCTATTCAGTTTCTCGAATAGTGTCTATTGGCAAACGCGAGTCTATTTAGCGTTGCGCGACTGACTTTCGGTGAATTGATTCAGAAACTGTGTTTTTTCGCAGAATTGCTTCAAATCGGAGTTCAGTACAATGCACATAACAGATTCGGTACGAAAGACAATCTTTTGTATCTAAACAATCGCAGAGTTTCTTCACGACACCAAATGTCTCTAAACAATATCTTCTTACAAAAGTAAATAAAGATAGCATTATTCTTCATCCAATCGATTTCACGTCATTTTCTAGATAAATCTGTAAAAAATATAATACAGATTGCATTGCTGTAATTTGAACGTAATAAATCGATAACATGAAACTTTCTATTAAATAGATATTGGACACAATGACGAAATATTAATTCACTGAGTCACTGAAGTTAACTCGATTACCAAAATTCTGATAAATACATGGGAAATGACGTAAATAACCAGTTTTGGATACGTATAGTTTACATGTTCACATTCTTATTTGATACATGAACGAAAATTTTGATTCAGCTAAACAGGCATGTGAAAAAAGGAACAATCAACGTTTTACTGATGGCCATAAGCTATAACACTGGACGAAGACGCAAGTGTTGAGTGTTGCCTACAAACCATGCCCAGAAGTAGTGTGTGTCGTTAATATTGATGTATTGTCTTATTATATTATTATTTATGATAAATTATTTGAATTGCATATGATGATATGTGTACTAAAACTAGTATATTATGTACTAATACTAGTTTAAAGTTGTGTATGTCTTTACTAACCATATGGATTGTATCATCAATCAATTTATTTATCTGAATAAATAAATTGATTTGAATTGATTTATCTGAATAAATAAATTGATTGATTGATTTACTAGTGTCGAGGAATCAATTTGAGAGGGATCCTTTTGCTGTACATAGGTACTTATACAGTTACACCTGACAAAAATTAGGAAATTCTGAGATATCAACCCTTTTTGTAGTCCACAAATTGTTAAGATGTTATCAATAATCATCCTAACTCGAGTATAACGATAATACCCCAGAACAATGTTATGTTTTGCATCTCAGCTAATCAAGAAAACAAACAATCTTAAAGACAAATAAGCAATAATCTCTTCATTATAAGCACTTTCGCTGCAACCGATTACATTGTAGCTGTGACGAATTACAATTTCCTCATTAAGTACTTACCTAATTCCGGCTTCCAACCATTTTATATGCAGGCCTGTTACATCGGTTACTATTTAAAGTAAGACAGGACTTTCAATTGCATTAATATGACTAGTTTTTGCTAAAAGACATTACTTGGTTGCACCTACGTGTTTGGCTAAAACGTTAATGCGTCGAGACCTAATTGGTATGATGTTAATGCTTAATTGGTATAAAGGGGGGCTTAATTTAGACGTGTAAATAGAAGTTTTTCTTTCTTTAACGGGTTTTCTTAGACTTTGTTTCAATATTCTGTTAAATTTTGATATCTTCTACTATAAAAATATAATCTAATACATTATCGTCATTAGCTTAAATTTGAAAAGAAAAGATAATCGTCATTTTAATAACAACGTTTGTCATTTACAATGGTGGTTGACAAATAACTGTTCTTACAAGCATTTTCATTAATCTCTTTCCTCATCTTTCTCTCTTACTACAACACTATGTATTATTAAAATAATAACCTGTATTTTCATGCCAACATGAAATTATTGCATCGTTCGTCGCGTTTCACTATTATTGATGTTCATCATCACGATACCATCATTTTTCCGCAACGTTTTAAGTAACTGATGTGAAACTAAATTCCGGGAACGCTTTGAGTAGATGGCAGCACGTTAGGTGTCACGTTCGCGCCAAAGATTAAAATCAAATATGGCTGCTTCTTGGAAGGGATTGGGTTTGTGGTATGGTTATTAATGCTCTAATGTGTAAAGAGAAACAATTTCTCTGAATATAAGAATTTAGCACCTGCTTAGATTGAACTAAACATACACATACAAACATATGTACCTAATTACATCTCAATCAGATATTTAAGAATTAAGACACGCTAAAATTATTTAATTAGGTTAGGTTCTGCTACTACCAATAACGATGTGTGTAATTAGTTATCTCACTGAAGGAACCATTATTTTTTGAAACACAAAAAACTGTCAAACGTTAATTGAAAATTGCTTTGACTTTCACAAACACATCGCCACAATATAACAACAATGTATCTTTAAAGTAATTGCTATTGCAATCGACTTTTACAATTTGCAATACTTGTCTTGTCTAACAAATAGTGTTTTTGTGTTCCCTATTTACCGATAACATCGTAATATTAGTTGTTGTTGCATAATTATATCAATGAACTGGTTGGTTCGAGGCAAGCGCAGTCGTCGGCTGCATTCGGCCCTCGCCGGTAACACACAACCTACCCTATAAAAAAAACAAAATTAAAAAAATATTATAACCTAATTTGTGAACAGTGCTGTCATTTTTAGACTATTTTTTAAAGACTTTGAAGTATTTGTAATATTGTGTTTTAAGTGTTATTTACTTAGAAATAAGAGTGATTATTGTGTGTTCACGTTTTGGAGAAAGTTTACGAATAGTTGTCATCTGCAAAGTGCTTGGATGCGACGTATTGTCATGTAATCATTTGACAAATATTTTTTTAATTTTTCTAACAGTGTTATCATCTCGTTATCTTATGAAGTCTTCAACAGATTATTTTCTTTTATTAACGTCTATAAAAGTAGTAGACCTTTGTTTAATTCGGCACCCAATTGTGGAATGTATAAATTAATATTTCAAATAATGTACAGATGAGTTGACTAAACCTGAATCAAAAGGACACAGGATAATTTTATCCAGGTAAAACTCGACCATATTCATTCATTTTTAGAACTGCAATATATCGAAACTATACCTAATACAAAAGTAGTCTCGACAAACAAAACAATACGCTTCGAATACAAACCTTACACTCAACTAAATAAAGACGTAAATAAAATAAGGATACTAGGTTTTGTAGCTTATAATCTAGCTTCAGTCATCCATAAAGTTATCGAAATCAAAGGAAACGTTACTAGTTTTTTATAAAGAAACAAATCAAATCATGGTTGGGTAATGTAGCTCGAAGGACTATCGAGTTTTGCGTAAATCGGTCACAGGGAAATAACAATTTCACGTGCATTTTGTAGAATACAGCATAATATAAGTAAGTAAATATCACGGTATATTTCCACGATAAGGCTGGACAGAGTAATGTTTACATGCAGGACCTTTTTATCAAAAGTTAAATCGGCATATCAAACAATCAAATGTTAGAATTATAAACTTCTATTTAGTGATATCTAATCCATTGCCACTAAGAAGTACCCATGTCCACATCAGATTCCGTGCTGTACTTGAAAATCTCAAAGATCTACTAAAACTGTTTTCTATAACTATTCCCGATTCGGTCATATCTTCATTGCAGTCACGTTTGAAATAACTCGTCCAACATGACAATTAGGTATAAAGCTAAAGTACTATTTACTTCTATGTATAAAAGTACTATTTATATATTTTATCGTCAAAACAAAAGACAAACGATCACTGACACGAATGTCGAATAAAACAAAAGAAGTTGTAACACATAATAACAACGACATTATTAAATAATTTCATTGTGTCAAACTTCGTGATTATATAAATAAAATCGTTTATGTTTAAGATTATATTTTTCATCGCTATTATTTTCTTTCATTGTTTCTGATATTTAATAACGAAATAATAATACAGATGTAGCAGAGAAAGCTGCAAATATTGACGTGGAATGAAGAAACTTGACAACGTACCTAGATATACATAATAATCAACTGTAAAGTACTTAAGTAAATAAACATGATACAATTAAACGTAACTGCCTCCTTTGACAAGTGATCACAAATCAAACTGCTGTGCAAGAGACCTCTACTTATCACCAAGAAGTTGAAAATATCTGTCCAATCCAGAAAATACGACCGTATATTCTTATTCAAACATTTAATACCGGAAAATGGAATTGGTTTAGTACCAAGCCGCTCCTCTTAATGACTTACCTGATAACACAGTTTCTCTTATCAAGCGCCGCGCGTACCACCGACCGCTCGCTGCGTCAACGCTACGCACGTTTTCGCACGAAACATTAACTTTCCCAACGATAACTACTAAATGAAATACAAGAATACCATTAATATCAAACAATGGCAATTGCTCTGCACATTGAAACTGTGGAATATTACCAAGATATCGAAAACTACATATAAGAAAATGTAATAAAATCTATCAATAAGGTTTTGAACTTTGTTTGTTATAAAGTCATTTTACTCCGGTCTTTGTAGCTGTTATTAAACATGGAGCCTTTAATGGGGAATGGTGACTACGAATTAATTCGAATACTAGAGAGCCTAAAGTCTAAACTAAATAAAAAAACATGCATCTAGCACCCAATAGAAACACTAAATTGGCTAAAGACAATGCTCTCACGAAGTTCATTGCCACTAATATAAATCGCGATGCAATAATCATAAATCATTTTAGACAAAACACAACTGTTGAAACCAAATCAATAACTAAGATTTATAAACCACTATTAACAAAGCATAACGTTTGTTTGATATAAACAGTGTCAAATTACGAAATGAAAATTAAAATACAGACGGATAATAAACTTTTGAAAACGTGAACACATAAAAATTACTAGACAAAATCAATGTGTAATTAAATAAAGACGATGAAGTGAAAGACAAAATGGACAAATGTGAACTAAAATAAGATAAAAGTGATGAAGATTGAGACGGTAGTGATGTGATGAGTGACATCAATGCTGACGTCGATGTCCGAGGTGATAGTGCTGGTGCAGAGTGACACTTACGACGTGTTCCGTCTGCTGGAAGCCTGGTGGCAAGGGCTGCTGTTGCTGGGCAGGTTGCTGCTTTGGTACTGTCGGTTGCTGCAGCAAGCTGCTTATGGTAGGCAAAAGCACATCTCAGCTATGTGGTATCAAACTTTAAAAATGTAATAAAGATAGGCCAAGAGTCAAAATATTGGACAATTGAGGTTAAAGGTTTTTTGTTTGTTTGCTTGTTTAATCGATGTTGATTAAGTTTCTATTCTGAGTAAATGAATTGACACTCTCATTATAATAGATGAATTAAAATATTCACCTATTGAGACTATCTAAAACTTAACCAGAAGAGATTTGAGTCCAAGATTTGTCCTTTAGTTTAGCTGAAGTTACGTGAGAGGATATGGGTGGTGTCATCGATATTTTTATGGCAAACACATAATTGAAAAACGAAAAAGACCATATTGTCCGCTTCGTTACGCTTCGCTCTAACTGCTGCAACCACTACATTGTGATTTTGGTCCTTTTGTACGAAAAATAAATGTTTTACTGGTTGTATATATTTTGTAATAAATTTTTAATCATATCTAACAACTGTTTATCATACAATATCAAGTTCCTTTTTGCTACTAATCATATCAGTTATGAATGAAATTGCATGTTTCAGTACATTCTTTACTGATTAATCAATTTCAACATATTTCCTCATAATTACTTATTACACCTGTACTTAATATCTTCAAGTTTTATCTATGTATCTATTACTCTGCGTACATCGAACTAATCAACAATTGTGATAAAAAGATAACATTATCGGACATTTAAATACTTTAGCTACTTCTTGCGGTAGTTTCGAAGGAAAAACATCGTTTATTTGATTAAAACATACCTAGAGAAAGGTAAAAAAGTATGTTATCTGAGATGGACTTAATTGGAGTAACTAAACTAACATTTAAATTGGGGTTTAGTAAATAAATTTACATACGTACGTACATGTAGTTTGTTTTATTTAACTCGCAGTTGAAACACGATCTCAAAACACAGTAAGCAATCAGCAGCTGTAGCCAAATGCCATTTAGCGCTTGTCTACTTATAGACTAGAAAACTAAATTATATGGGATTGACGTAATTTTGACACTTGTTAGTATCATCCCCATATATTTAGTTTTCTATTCTCTCGGTAGACAAACGCTAAAGCGTTTGGCTAAAGGCACTGGTCAACATACTCCAATCTATTCAATTGCTTTTATCAGATTTTCACCTTTATTTTTTTGTTATAAAGTTGAAGATCCAATGGAAAAAATTGACAGAAAGGAGTATCTTAACCTGTTGGCGTCTGTACATCTAAATTCTAGGCTAACCTAACGTTGTTGTATAGTTACTACTTTAGTTATAATTTCAAGTCTTCACCTCGCTCTCAATGGTTTCGTTGCGTGACTTCAAGCGTCAGGTCAATGGCCGTTTTTTTTAATACATATTACTATGGAATATGGTGTTTTATTGGTCTATGTATTATGTTTCAGAACTGAAGGTGCCTGAGGAGGCAATGATGGCGCCCAGCGTGTTCCAAAGGACCAAGTCACCGCGCACCTCACCCGGAAACTTGCCTAGAAAATTACAGGTAACTGTCTATTTAACTCGTCGAGTACCGGTTTTGTAGACACAATTATAGAACAATAGGTTGCGGTCACCGGTGACCGCTTGGTGTTTGACAGTTTAATTTGCCTAATAAGAAAATATATGTGTGCTAAAAATATCATCTTTCTTCTGGAATCCGTCTAATTAAAATACCAATTAAGAACGTTCTTTCTTTGTTTTTTGATGAATGGAAATATATCGCAAATTGCGTCACCGAACGCGTGGCTAGATTCCGTCTAGGCAAGCTGATTGGTGAAATAAAACTTATTATGTCCGCTAGGTACTTAATTAATTTAATTAAAAATAACTGAAACTGCACACAATTCGCATTCAGCAGTAATTTACAGTTCCATTGCCCTAATGGCGGAACAGATTAAAAAATGCCGAACAAATTTCATTTGTTTTGCATGCGGGCGCTACCACCATGAGCGTGGAATTTTAAAAATAACTTTCAAATGTCGAATACTTCAGTTTTCTCTTAATTTAAAAACTGCGAACAAACATGTCTTTACGTACGTAAACTATGTATATAAAACCCAGATCCCTAGGTACTTGCATGCTACAAGTATTGTAATATGAGATAACCATCTGTCTATTCATAATCGTGATGAATATTTACATAAAAAACTTGATATATCAGTTTTCTATTAACATAAGGTAATAAACATTAATACGTAATCAGCGTATACAATACCTTGTTCGAATCAAGTACATATTGCAACTTATTCACGTAAGATAAACGTGTAGGATACATTATTGATAACTACTAAGTATACAATATTTTCACACATTTCCATTAAATATGAAAATAAGAAATATTTTCATCATCAACTGCCTGTAAATGCCCACTGCTGAGCAAAGCCTCTTGTCACACGGCAGGTTTGAGCATTAACCACCACGCTTATTCCATGCGGGTTGGCGATTACAACTTATAATTAGAAATTATAAACCCTGGTTTCCTCACGTTGTTTTCCTTCAAGGTTTGTCAGTGGTGTCTAGATAATCTTAGAAAGTATCAAAGTACATATAACTCTGAAATCTTGCATGAGAATCCAGAGTTATAGCTCATGCATAAGAAACGGGCGTCTTAAACCTCCAGGCCACCACGACAAGAGAAAGATTTTATAGTCTATAAATTGTAAATCATTTGTTAAAAATCTCTCAGATCATTATATTCAATAACGTCCATTCCCAAATGACTATAATCTTACAATCGTACTAATATTATAAATGCTAAAGTTTGTAGGTATATTGGTTTGTTAACTCGTCACGTCTAAACGACTGAAGGGATAGCGATAAACTTTGGAACAGCCAAAGATTATGGATTGGAATTACAGATAGGTAACTTTCTTTCCCACAAGAAATAAGTTAATAACCCTGAACCTGATCCAGTTTAAAGGTACCCGGTAAAAAGACAATATTTTAATTTATGTTTCTCCAATGTTTCAGAACGGCACGGAAGCGTCTGGCCAATCAGATCCGACAGCTGATTCCAGTCCTGGCAACTCCATATCTGATGCTGAGAACTTCGAATGCTACGGCGAAGGAGACCATGATGTTCCTGCTAATACGTTAGTTTTTTATTTAAAAAAAAATGATTTTTCGAAATTTCTTAAAGACGTAAATAGACTTTAGGTATTATTGCTATCCAAGAGATTTAATTATAGCGTCGAGAAGGCCCTTATTTATGAGTTCAGTACATGTCATTACAGTAGAAAATTCTTAAAAGATTTTACTAATACTAGATATAGCAGTAGTACCTAACACTAAATATTGAAGAAACCTGGTGTATCAGGTGTATGGCAAATTGACAATAGGATCACCAGACTCCTCTATTTACATGCTAGATCGTCTAAAAGATCACAATGGATAATTTATGTAAATAGACCGATAAATTCAACGTGGTGCCATATCGTGGATACGACTAGTTTTAATCCTGGTCCTGTATTCAACTAAGGACTTAACAAAATCGTCAAAGGAATTTAAAATAGAAACTAAAGAGTAATTTGTAGTGGCTCCACGTTGGGTACCAAAATCTACATCTTATTAAGTACGAATTAATATTCAAAGTTAGCTTTAATATGCATAGCAGCATGGTAGTTAACGGACGGCGGATAACGTGGTTAGGACACAGCCCTTTTGAATAAGTTAAGACGAAAATTGGAAAAGTTATTAACCGAAATTTTTTCTACATAACATAATCATCAACAGACTCTAAGTGGCCGCTGCTGACCAAAGCCCACTCTCATACGGAGAACGTTTGAACATTAATCACCACGCTTGCTCAATGCAGATTGATAATTTCAAACTTATGATTAGAAATCATAAGCTTTAGGTTTCCTTTCGATGTTTTCCTTTACCGTTTGTCAATGGTGTCTAAATAATCTTAGAAAGCACATTAAACTCGGAACAAGTCACATTCGTACCTGCTTTTGCCAAATTTCGCACTCATGCATGAGCATGTGCAACAGCGGGCCAGCACGACTATGCCACCATAACACAATTTAGCTTTGCTATTCCCTATTTACTCAGTTGTTGGTCTATCAGCCGAGATTAACAACTTTGGTTTTTGGATTAACATTGATTTTTGATTAGTCGTTTATAATTTCTGTCAGAAACCTGGATCGATCCATTGAATTAGGATCAGTTACTAATTTACATCACTAATTTCACCCATATAGCAATGGTTATAAAGCTGCTTCGTAAAAAACTAATGTCTAGATACAAAACACGCCTTTTATCCCGGAAGGGGTAGGCAAATGTGTACATTACGACACTTAATGCCACTGTACAATGTAACACCCACTATTCACTATTTATGTTATGAGTCCCATGTAATAGGGGCTGAGCCTATTGCCATATACCGGGCACAACTCCGGACTCCGTGCACTCAACTCTCCACTGAGATTTATTGAAAAAAACCCAGTAATGCTTTGCCCGGCCAGTCGCACTTGCGACCACTCGGCCAACGAGGCAGTCAAAGTACCCCGTATTAAATCTTAACAAAACTCATTACTCATTAAGTATAATTAGTAGCATAATTTCTCCATCAACCGTAATGAACTGGCACAACGAACTCAATATAAATAATATTATCGTTGATCTAATTAAGGAATAATTAATAAAACATATCAAAGACAAAATTTTATAGACAACATAAACAGAGATTAGCAATGGAGTCGAAACGTTTAATGAAGCAACAGCGGTCAATGGTATCGTAAAAAAACTTCCGTATAAAATTTTATGTGCAACAACTAGGTAGATGACTGTACGTTTTCTAAACTCTTCTACATACGGATTTTTATTACAAAGTCGATCGTATCCCATACACGACCTAGTTATTGAAACGGATAAATTTATTTATAACTTGTGTCACAAAAACTATCATCATACTCAAATCAAATTGCCAGTATATATACATATGTAAAATTTAAGTTTGTATCTAACACTAGATGCTTAGTCAAATCTGTGGTAATCGGTATTGTATCAGAGGTCTAAATTATTTTTTTATCGGTAACTAGTTGACCCGACAAACTTCGTACCGCCTAAAAACTTTTAAACCTTCCGTGTACTTCCACGAACATTTCAACACCAAAATTAGCAAAATCGGTTCAGCCGAAATACATTTTTGTTTATATAGATTTACTTCAAAATAAATGCTTAGGCTACTATTAAGAACACACTATTAAATCTTTGTAGTATGACTATTTTTACCATGGTTAGATCTTTTACTAAAGCTTGAGGCAATAAGAAAATTAACTGGGTGTTAAAAACAAATATGTCTATTGCCTTGTTTGGTTGCTGTATAGGTTTCTGTTGTTGATATTAAAATTTTATTTTCTTCCACAGATTAGAGAATGGTACCCGAAGTCCTGGAAACCCTTTGAACAGACACTCTTGGACACGAACCAGCCTTAGGAGAACACCACCAAGGTAAGTCTGTGGATGAAACAATAGACACAGGCACTGTTATTAAAATAACTACGGTTGTACTTGTAGATCGAGTCGGTTTTGAAATTATTGAGGTTTTAGATAATTTCGCATTGAATGTAGATAACGAAGTGATTAATCCTATTACAATCGATGATACAACAAAAGACTTAAAGAAATTACGGCTATCAAAACAATCCGAATCAAACTAATCATAAAAACTACAATAGGGTAGATGCATAATTTTTATTTTAATGTCCGTCTGGTAGATTATTTTAAATCATTGGACACGTATTTTTATACTTCTTACAGAAACGAATACTTTCGACGATATATTGATTTGAAATGTCGCGTGACGTCACTTCTATGTACATTTTATACGTAGAAATGACGTTTCAGCCCCCACTCCTAAACTTTGATTCGTTTTATCTAAGGATTGTTTTATTATACGACAAAAAATAATATATTTTCATTACCTGACGGACTAATTAGATTTTTAATTTTCATACCCTGTCATCATCCCAATTGGTACATTGGTCCATTGGTCGCTTTTCTAAAGAGATCAGATTTTTTGTAAATTACCTAAATATTTGCGAACATGAAATGCAAACCAAAGTATAAATGGATGAATAAGGTTTTCCAATACTTGTCTGTATTTAAAAAATACACATCAACACTTCAACACCACATATATGAGCCCACTGCTGAGCAAAGGCCTTTTCTCGCATGGAGAAGGTTTTTCAATAAGTACCTACGAATTATCTAAAACCTCAGTTATGGAATCGACAATTTTTAACAGTTTTACATTTTCGTGGTTCTTCATTCTGCACTGTCTTAGTTCTTTATAAAACAATCTTAAATGTGTGTTCTTATATAAGTTCTTCAGTTTGTTTGTTTTGTTTACTTAATTTTGTTTTGCTATATTTATTTTTTCTTGCGTTTGCTTTTTATTTTTATATATTTGTGTTGTATCTCTTCCGTAGCCATCAGGAGAACTTGCCGAATCGCCGTTGGGGCTCCATGAGACAGTAAGCTTTCTTTTGGTTTTGTTTTTTTTTTCATGTGACGAACCTTTGCATATATTATAAAAGTTCTTAATAACTTTCCTTAACATATTAAAGACTAAAGTGTTCTTTATTGGACTGATGTATTTAACAAAGTGATTATATATTAATCATTAGATATCAATCAGATAGTTCTATATTACAGTTTTTTGAGACATGAGTAAAAACCAAAGTTTTGTTGCAGACCCTATTATTTTCTTTCTTTTAATAATTTTTCGTTTGGAGAACAACGCACAGCATATTTACAGTTATCATCAAGGTTGAAATTAAGTATTAAATTGAAATTAACATAATTACGAGTAATGTTTGAATTGAACAGTTGTTCATATTGTAGATAAAAGAAGTACAAATAAATATGAAACAGATCCTACATTCAGTAGTTGTCAATTGTCAGACCTACTAGGACTACATAATTATTTCTGCCTTGCGTTTTTCTTCAAAACTTCAAATTTAATTTTTGTGTTATTTTTTGTGTTCGTTCGTTTTGCATGTGAGTTTCATTAATTTATTTTACTTTTTCCTTGTTCAAATGGTGCTATTATCCTATTAATAATATTATTAATGCGAAAGTTTGTAAGGATGTTGTGTGTGTGTGTTTGGTACTCTTTCACGTCAAAAAGGCTGAACGGATCGAGGTGAAATTTGGACCAGCGATAGATTATAGTCTGGAATAACACATAGGCCACTTTTAATTCCACGGGAACGCGGGCCGTGGCTAGAGGTAGGAACTATATATTAAACTGTTCTTGCTAAACATTCTCAATAACTTCTTAAGAAATTTTATTTTGGGGCACTATATGAGCAATAAAATTTTGAGTACAATTTCTAGTTACTGGCTTTCAAGCAATCAAGTGATTAAACTAAAATTACCATTTATCCAACCTGTATCTGCGTATCAAAGCCATTCTTCGTCCAGAATTATTTAACTATCTATATTTTAAGACAAGCTACAAATACACGCGACACACACCGTCAATCGAAAATCTTCTCCAAGTCCACCAGCTATTGCCACCACCAACTTATCCAACACTCATAAAACTACTTACCAAATAATTATCAACCTTAACACACCTTAATAAGAGCTTCCAGTGTTTTGTCAAGTGTAATGCTAAAGTAGTATTTAGTACTATTGTCAGCTAGAGACAATAGCGTCACTATTTTCAGTATATAATGAGTCATCTCATCACATCAGATCTAAACGTGGGCTAGTAATAAAACAATTGAATATCGACCTATGTGCATTTCTCAGGATGGGCTTGGGAACTAAAGTAATCGATCATCTAGATATGTACACGATTTGAGAGTTATAGCCGATGAACCAACTTTTAAAAGCATTGTTATAATATAAATGACTAGCGGCCCGTCCCGGCTTCGCACGGGGGGACTTAAGATTTTTTACATAGTTTTACGTTTTATTTATATTTATTCTCAGTTTATTATGTTTGAAATAGTAGGTAAGTACTTACCTAATAGGTATCTTTTGGATGAATTAATAGTCTTAAGGTAACCGATTGAACAATTCAAAAGTTATCTAGAGCAAACTTTTTTAAGGATTGAACCATTCATTAAAACGGTTGTTATGGGTAAACTATAAAAGGTAGACATATGCTCTCGCGGACTTTTTTAAAAATAATGTTAAGATGAACAATTCATCTATAGAGCATTTTTGTATAACTTTAACTATATGCTCAGCGCACGCCACGGAAGGCCTCAGAAACGATACTTTTCCCCCGTTTTTAAAACATTTTTGGTTACTGCTCCACAACTATAGGACCTAGCCTGATATTATATAGCCTATGTTACTTCTGAATAATGCAGCTTTCTAATGGTGAAAAAATTATTGCAATCGGTCCAGTAGTTTTTGAGTTTATTCATTACAAACATACAAAAATACAAAAATACAAAAATACAAATCGTTCCTCTTTATAATATTAGTATAGATTGGTTGTGGATTCAATACGTATGGAAACCGTATCAAATTCTCATTCTCATTCGATTTAAAGTGCCATTCAAGAATCACTCTAATGCTAAAATGTGTTATGTTAAGCGGATTCTCTTTTACATTAGTAATTACTCCAACTCTTGCCATGTGGACATCTGATAGTGATTAAGATAGTACTTGACTGTTAAGTTTAATTTCGAAATTATCTATAACTAGCTACTGCCCGCGACTTCGTAATTCCGTTTTCTCCCGTTCCCATAAGATTTACAGGATTTTTTCTATCATAAGAACCTTCTCCTGACAATAACAATAACAACAAAAAAAAAAATCAGCCAAATCGGTCCAGCCATTCTCAAATTATGGTGTGACAACGGGAAACGGGTTTCATTTTTATATATAGGTATAAATTAATAATTAAAATTTTCATGACTGGTGTGTATACAAACGGATTCGTCACTTAGATTCAGAAAATACACACAAATATAGACAGATATAATAAGTATGTTATGTAAACAATACGAGTAGTCTTTCTTTGTACAACTAAAATTCAACACGCAGCTGATTCCACTCTCTCATAGTTATGTCTTCTCAAAACAAGTTAATGGCGAACTAGAAAAGTAAAATGATTTATCTTGTTCCCTTAAGAGGGAATACTTAAATAGATCTTTAGACAAAGTTATCTTGTTAACTTCTAAGAATAATAATTATAACTTTGTAACTTTTGCAAATAAGGGTATAACTTGAGCTATTGGGAGATACTTTGGGATTTATCGGGAACTAATAAAAGCGTGGTAGCATGATATTGGATGTTTCAAAGTTGCTATTAATATAGTTACAGCTTTTGGTGTTCTAAATACAAATGACAAGTTGAAGAATTTGCTTCGGTATCCTCCATTTTGTATAGCTATTTTATAAGCTCCTTAAAAAGGCGGAGAGCTATTTTTTTACAACAGACCCTGTAGTTCATATTTGGTAAATAACTGGTGGATCAAATCCAAATCTTTCTAAAAGGAAAATCTCTGTCTGAAAAAATCTGTTCGCTAAAGGAAAATGTACGACCTAATTTTCAGAGACTGTTAGCGTGTCCAATATGTCTATCTCGAAGTTATAATTAAAACATAAACAAATTTAATCTGTCGCATCCCAAAGGCCTCGGGACCGGCGGCGGCGTGACGAATTCCCATTAGCAGTCTCCTAACCAAATTTTATGGATTGGGCCGGAAATTGAAACCTATTAACTATTTAACTGTCCTCTTTATGGATCGGAAGTCATAGCTTTTAATGAAATCAGAGAACTCAAATTGTTTTAGGTCGTTTGGTCAATGAAGTCCTTATAATAGTAGTGTGCCTAATAAGTGCTAATTTAATTTGTTTTGATATATTTTTCTTAAAATTCATAAAATATTGAACTTATGGCTTGTCAAATTACATAACATTATGTGGCTATTTATTTGTAAAATAAAATAGTTTCACTTGTAATGTAAAGTATCTAATAAAATACAGAAATCTTTTCGCTACATTCATAAAATATATGACAAAATGTAACTATAATATAACGTGTTACGTAGACTAGCATGTGTGAACAAAAGAATAATAATGTATATATTGTTAGTATATAATTTATATTGTTATGTCTATATATCCGCTCTATATACTTGTCTTTGTTTCCGAATTAATTGAATTATTCAAGTAGATATGTCGTTTTCTTGTAAGTCAGAATTATGTCTTAGTTCTGAGTTACGCATTTTGCCTTTTGGCTAGAGTTGATTACACCCCTGGTCTCTTGTTTGGGCAATCATCACCAATTATCAGTATCATCAACATAATCTTCTATGATGCGCTACAACCACAAGTTGTGGTTGCAGAACCTTCTGCATCCAAGCACCTCATATACTATGTAATATTTTCACAGTCACGTCTTCTCTAAAGGGTTAGATAACCACTATTTAGACTCATGCAATAGTCAGAACAATTCTACATGCTACACAACTAGATTTGAGCATTTAAGTATAATTTTCTTCTAATCCAAGCCCTAATTATCAACAAACGCAGAGCTATAACCACTAGAGCAAGACAGACAAAAACATTTAAAAAAAATTGCCCGGCTTACGCCAGTCTCTGCAATATCTAACAGCAGTTAGAAACCCAATGCTATTGCAATGTGCAATGCTAGACTGCATTATGATTGGTACATCTAAGTTTAGGCTATTTACATTTACAAAGGTTCATTAACCAACATCCTTCATGAGTACATTATGTGTTACAATAATGACATTAAGATTTTTTTGTCTTGTACTTAATCGCGTACTTACATGGTCATTCATAGCTGAGGTACCTATACACAACTTGTAGGTATTTATAAAAAATTTTGTCATAAATTGACCACATTACATTCTGAAACTAGATTTAAAAAGTTTTTTTATATATTTCGAACAAAACCCCGTATCACGCACGGGTTATCTTACAGCGCTGTATGTAATAGGTACTAAAGGGACATAAATTCCAGATTCAGTGCTAATCTTTGTACCTTAGACAGTGACCAATTCACTAACAAATCTGAGAAATAATATCTCTTCTTCCTTTCTTCAACCCTGAAGATCGAACTCATCTAACGACTCCTTCTCCAAGGTCTTTAGCATAGCCCACCATAAGTGTATCTCTTCTGTAAAACTAGAAATAAAAGAACAGGTAAATAGTTAGATCAGAAACTCAGATTTAGTCAGTTGGGATTCTCACTAAGAAAGTGAACTGTACCGTTCCGGCTGGCAGCGTTGCGCGGTTGCCCAACGCATGCGCATCACTGCTATACTATTTTACTCATAACGCACACATAATCAACAACACACATCGGTAATTGCAATTGTAGAACTATTAGATATATGCATAGAAGGAAATTTAATTAAATCGTGATATGATCCTAATAATTTTCTATTGCATTACATCTTCTAATAGGATATTTTAATCAATAGCCTAAATTATGTAGCTTCATATCGATAGAAGTATTCGATTTATAGTAACAAAA